ATCATGAACCAAATAGTTTATCATGAACATTGATCAAATAGTTTATCATAACATTAATCAAATAGTTCATATCATATAGAACATTAATCAAATAGTTCATCAATCCACAATGTGAGTGGCATTCTTCTCGATTGGCTATCCAACAAATAGCGACATAGATTCATGTTGAGTTGATGATGGGAAACCAACCCTTTCATCCCACGCTACACCATGCCTTTTTCTCTCCTCCTATTCCCCAGAATTACACTCTGCCTAGGGGCCGCTATCTAGTCAGATGTGAAGGAGGAACCTCTCATCCGAGAACACACATCGTTGTTCAACATTCCGCTAAGAGGGGTTCTTAACTCTAGGTTCCACCTCAGGCCCCCATTCAGCACACAACGCTCCCACATGAGTTAGCACCTTCGACACCCACACCCCCAATTGTGTTCACCTGCATTGTTGGCTTGGCGTTTCCTGCCACGCTCACAGAGTTAGACCTTAGTTGGGCTCTCCTAATTCACAGCATTAATCGTGAGCCAAGACTAATTACTCACCACCCTGTACATACGTGATGAGCCTCACGTGGTACCAATATTTTGCTAGGCTTTTTGTGTAGGTAGGTGCAGTCAACAAACATATTATCAAACGGTCCTTACCGGCCCTAACACTACAACTTAACGGTCGTACGCCCGTTCAGGAATAGGCCTCGGCCCAACATCCCTTTGCCAATTCCATCGGCATGGACCCCTGGTCCCTATCCCGGCTGCACCACGAGCGTGGTCCCACGTCTCTTGCACCCCTGGCTGCAATGGCCCGTAACGTTGCCTTTTTGTATCCTTCGATATGGGTCCGATCACTTCGTGTTCTATAGCGTCTTGGTATCTTGATCTCACTTTCCCCCAAGTCACCCACTTTAATCACCATGCATTCTTACCCCCTACCCACATCTCTTACTATATCGTTTTCGACCCTCGATATCGCCCCACCCCTCCCTATCTCTCTAATACCTAAACGATAACACGTCCAATATCCAACCCCAAATTCCACCCGTTGTATCCGCAGTAGCCAGACAACTAAATTTCATACCCGAATGACCCTTCTCCTCCCCTCCCTCCTGAAAAGCTGTCCGCACCCTCAGTCCATTTCCCTCAAAGCTTCCCATACCGTTGAGTAGCACACTAGATTAAACTCGAGCAGACTGACCGGCGCATTGTAACTTGGTGACTGAACCACCACTAAACACACCGTCTCTTTCGATTAACCTACTTTATCAACACTCACACAACACTGAAGATGCCTGCTGGCAAACCTTCTCGAGGAAGTTTCTTTTCTGCCTAGTATCAGAATTCGGACAACTGTTGTATTGCACCACCCCCTCACTACCGTCTATCCGTCACCGATAAAAGTACATTTTCATTTATATATCTGAGTCACATAATTCGGTTAGCGATTACGAGTGAGCAATAATAACGTTGATCATAACTACTGATCGAACAGTTATAAGCATTAAAACATACAAAACTTGTAAATGGTGTTTTTTAAAGGCATTATATTTCCTTAGTTGGATAGTTTGATCATGAAGCTTTCACTTAGCGCGTTTGTAACATCGTTTTAACAACAACTGAGCTATTATGAATTCTAAAAAAATTGACCACCATCTTCTTTTGTTTATACGAAAATCGATTGTCTGTTCTCTATCGTTGTTTGTAAACATTTTTTAAAATGTCATCATTGACTTGAATACTGATACAGCGATTATTCAGCTTTTTCTAACAAGACATTTAAAAACAATTTTATACAAGCAAAAAGAGACAGTAAGGATGGAAGTCAAGCTATATATAAATGAGAAGATAAATTGAATAAAAACATAAACGAAGGAGTACTCATTCTCTATTCGCATCTGCATGGATATTAGCTAGATATTAAATGCTACGATATATCATCAATAACATAAACGGATGATGATTATTAACATGAGGCTCATTGGGAAAATGGCCACCAATTGTGCAGAGAAATGAAAACAACTAACTTTTCTTAGTTCATCCCGTTCCTCCGACAGCAGTTGAAAGAAGTAAACTACTAACAAGTAGTACATCGGTACATGCTAAATATTGAAGTTGTTATTAATTCAATCGATTTTTAGCATGTACCGATCTACTACTTGTTAGTAGTCCACTTCTTTCAACTGATTTAGGAGGAACGGAATGAAATAAGAGAAGTTAGGTGAAAATTCGCAACCTATTTAACAAGTTGCCCTTTCTGGTGTATTTTAAGCTAACAGTAACAAACTGTTACTCTGCCGAGAGACCTTCTTGTGTTACTGCTGGTCCCATGCCCGGGTAAAACAGGAAAGTGGGGCAACGAGTTAGGTAGAACTGGAACCCAGTCAGGTAAAAAACTAACTTGCCAACCGGAACGAATAATTCAAACCATCGAAACTGTGTCCTGGGAGTTGAAAGGTCTTCATTTAGAAGAGTTATTACGTTTTAACAATGAAAAGTGTAAGATCTTCCGATACAAGAGAGCACCAACCAAGCTAGTCACATTTGACGGAGGCTGTAGAAACCTTTACATACCTAGCCGACATTACTAATAAACATAGGCGATCTGATGAAGGCACGAATCCGCAAAGCGATAGAAGCTTTCCTACAAGTAAACAACATCTGGAACACAAAACAACTATCAACCAACACCAAAGTCACTATTTTCAATACAATCGTCAAAACGATTCTATTGTATGGGGTGGAAACTTGGAGAACCACAAGATATAGGTTTGCTCAAGATACTGTAGATTCGTTGGCAAGACACCATTAGCAACAACCTACTGGGTGAGAGAACAAACCAAATTGGAGCTGAGGAAGAAATTAGGGAAAGGCACTAGAGGTGGATAGGATACACATTGCAGAAATCACCTAATTGTGTACCAAGGCAAGCCCTAACTTGCAATCTTCCAGGCCAAAGGAAAAGAGGTCGACTAAGGAGAATATTGCACTGAGAATAAGAAGCAGATATGAAAAGAATGAACAGAAATTAGGTAGAACCGAAAATGAAGGTGCAGGACAGAGTTGCTAAGAGAATACTGGTAGTCAGCCTATGCTACATCTTGGATAAGAGTCTTTAGTTAGATTGCATACATGAGATACACTGTTCCTTAACAAATAATCGTATCGCAGTTATGAATCAGGAATCGCCAGTGAAGAGATGAGATTGTAACGAAAACCTATAAGTGGTATTTCAACCGCATAATTGAGTGACTCTGCAGCGTTGTATTAAGCGATTGGGATGAAACACAGAAAACTCTGGATAGTAACTTGCGAAATATATATCCGAACACGTTAACTGGAACGATATCGCCACAAGTGCTGATATTTTGTCATTCAAATGATCGCCCTTCTTCTGTTTTAGCTTTAGTTGACACAGTCCTCGTAACAATCAGTTCATTCCTATTAGCTTCGCATAGATCATTGGTTAGCTTCAAGACTACCATCACCAATATTATTTGAAACCACAAGTTATGCGAGTCGACATTAGCACAAAGACGCAAATGTCAAATCAAATCCCATAGTGATAAAGATAGTAGAGGTATTAATGGTAATGAAGAAGACTAGGGTTCGAAGATATTATTCAAGAAGTATAATTCAGTGAGATAAAGTTAGAAAGACAAAGGTAGAGGTGCTGACGAATCCAGAGGATTAGGATTTGAGAGAGCACAAATAATGGATGCATCTGCGCCATTTCAAACGATTTTTAGCCATGTCGTTCAAGATCTCTAACCATCGGTTACTATCGTCTCGCGGACTCCAACCAGGTACTCTACACATAACAACATACTAGTTGTACTTTGTCCAATCAAATTCAGTGTTCAAGTAATGGTGATGTATGATTTATGGACTGAATACCAAGATTTTTCGAGTTGATAGAGAAATTCGGCTGTCAGGGTGCTAAACAGGAACATTAAGTCAATCGTTGGTGTTTTAAGCACTATTTGTGCTCGTTTACAATTTAGTCTAACACAATATAGCAACTAGCACGAAAGTAGGTCAAGAGAAAATTAAAGACCATTAAAGCGATACAACATAATCATTTATCATCCATTCTTTGCTCTTACACACCAAATACATTAAGAAAATAAACCGATATCCCCGAATGATGTATTATATTTAGGAAACAAAAGGTGTAAAACTCAATGGTAGTACTCTATGAAATGCAAAAATGGACAGAATTAGTTAATTATTCTACAGACTAATATGATTTGTTTGAAACAAAGGATTTTGCATAGATATACACATAGAGTAGAACTATAAAATGTAATTCACATACATTTGTATCAGTGAGCATACACACACACACATATATATAGGACAGGAATACAGGTGTAGTGTGTACAAAATGTTATATTCTATCAAGAAATAGATAAGACAAATGTAACTAAGTGTTCATCTAAACTATGATACATAAATTACAAATAAAATATGTATAGAAAAAGAACAAAATAGGAAGACTAACAGTTAGTATACACAACAAGAGTTAATTATCAAAGTAATTTTGTGCTTTTATTAAACTAAAATCATATCTATGCAACAAATTAATGTTTTGAAATGAATTTATATTTGTATTCTGTTCACCTAAAACAATTAATGTAATTGTAATTGGGATTATGAAGATACACTTTCGACAATTGTTGGAAATATTCCATTCAATTTTTTTTTCATATTATAACACCATTAAAAAAAACAATTAGTTTATCATTAGCGTCAGGGAATCAAACCAATCCACACGTATCAACACATATTACAACACTGGAATTACAGATTTGTTCACATCGTTGTTATTTAATGCAGTGGGAAAAAATTTCGATGAGTCTTTATCATTGGAGGATGATGGTGTCAACAGATGAATATCATTCTTGGATTGTCGAATTTTATCACATATGACAATAGGCGATTCTGTAAGATCAGATTTATTGACTGAATGTTTTTTATTTTCATCATGAGTATGTTGTTGATTGTCATCTTTTCCTCTGAATTTGTATGAATAGAAATAAAAGTACAGAAAAATTACATGCATCAATTAAAAAAAACGTTGGTTGTAAACGGTGTAAGCAGTCAAGATAGTCATGAAATATACTATAGCTCAAGGAATATTGAGACACAGAGAAAGATAAAACGAATATATTTGCACTATTGCGACTGCTTTTGAGCAATAGCAACCACAACGTGACGTTGCCATTTAGCTGACACTAGTATGCTCTCAACTTACTCCTATACCTGCTAATGTCGCCACCCAATAAGGTAGGCAATGATTAGGCAAACTTAACATAAATAGGAGAATAGTCATGGCTGAAAAAACAATGAATATCGAAAGGTTACTGGATCATAAGAAAATTTTTACACAAACTCTATATTACTTAGCTAAATAATTACCAGGTACAGAATCACATAACCCTGAGTACTACTGATACTATCCGGATGCTTATACCGAAGTAGGCAGACTAAGGTCTGCAAGTGATCTAATGGCCTCGAGTAAGATGTCTTTAACGATGGAGTCACTGCTATCCATTATGTCTGAACTGTAAAAAATGAGAAACATTATACGTGGAAGTGAGTGAAACAATAATCAGTATTATATCACAAGTAATAAACGAATGTAACAGGCTGCAGAGTAATCCAGAACGCGCGTGCTGACCCATTTAGTACTCGCTAGTTAGATACATCTCAGACTTCGTGGTCATTCCACGATTATAATACAGCACCGTTCGTTGCAAACAGCAATGCGTTATACACTTATCCATCGAGTTCATTTACTCTATATTAACTTATCATAATAGTTATATCAAGGTAATCTGTACAGGATGCACATATATCAAACCAAGATTGATCACATTTCAATAAAAAATATTAACAATGGGATAATTCAGATCGTTTTAAATTGCATCATGATTAATTGTTTATGGTAGTTATTTTTAGACGAAACAATCATTTTACTTAATGAAGATAAATACAAGGAGTCATGTATATTGAAAAGGTTGCCACGTAAAGCTAAATCAAAATTCAAATTACACAAGTTGCACAAATTAATTTGAAGTCTACAGATTTTATGGAGAACATATATACAACCTACACTTGTTTCAATTGCATTGACAACTAACGTCATCTATTTTTTTGTAAGCTTACCTTATTTGTATAACTAATATTCCATTTACACGATTGAGTGTTTCTAAAATTGACGAAATAGTTGGAATAGGCAAAGTTAATGAACCAGCACCACTGCCTCCAGTTAAATTAGCATTTCCTCCAGCAGCAATACCGAATGAATTGGATAAAACTGCTTTAGCAACAAGTGATTCATTAATAAAAGCATGATTACTAGTTGAAGAATGTGAATTGAAATGACTATTCAATGAAGAATCATTTGATTTTGTTGAAGAAGCAGCAGCCGCCGCTGTAAGTTCAGCTACTTTACGTGCAATTGTAACAGCTTGTTGGGTAAGTTGTCGTAAACATTCATCACTATCTTTAGTATAATCGCTATCAGGACCTAAACGTTCTTTATAGATTAGAAAACGACGTTTTTCATAATCAAGAGCAGTACGAAAATCACCACGATAAGTATATGTGAGACTGATTAAATGACAAGTGAACGCTTCTTTCAAATTTCGTTCACCATAAAATCTAAAACATGAACAATTACACGCAATGGATGTTATAAGCGTATTGAATATTTCAAAGTTATTGAATAATAAATACATGGCAATGGATTTTAATGCATTGAATCAAACGTATTAGATTATCTTATTAGTCCATAGCATGTGACTTTAAATTTGTTAAATTATTTCAAAAGTTAACAAAATCAATCATTATGACAAGATAAATAACTCAAGTAGACATGAATTTGTTTCAATTAGTATGAATCAGAGTGATGCAGTCGAAAATCGGAAAACTTTATAAAGCTTTAAAAATCAATGTTATCAATGATTTAGTCCTGCGGCAGATATACACAAATAATGAATGAATAAAATGTAGAGATAGGCGATAATAGTGTACTTAATAATGAATTCTAAATTGAATAACATATTATTTAAGTCGATGAAAACCAACTATACTTCCCGTATTACATAATCTTTTTTCAACCTCAACAAGTGCTAGGATATTCACCAAATATCTTATTAAGAATCATTTTGTGGGTGTAAATTCAACTGGTCGATTCCTATTGGTCAATATTATGGTCATCCTAGCTATCAATGTCACGTACTTCAATGTTGTTTCATATTTGACCTAAGTATATAAATACGCATTATCTGCAACGTTTTATGACCCAGACCCGGATCCCTAGTCCGGGATCCTTATCCTCTTCCGGACTCAGACCTCGTACTTTCTGGATGCTTGTAGAATACAGGTTCTACTTCATATCAAGTATTCTTCTTTTATTCTGTTGGGGGTTGAGACACTCGGATTAGAGTAGCATGTTGTGTCGCCAAATCCTCGATCCTCACCCTAGTTATCCGACTAAGGTAAACTCGTAATAGTTCAAGCATATCAATCGATGTGTTTACGTGAATGAGTAACACTGAGTTTTGCAAATAAGATGTAAACACATTTGAATTGCGAAGTAAATAATAACAATCAAAGTGGAAGATCGAAATTGCTTTTCAGGTAACTAAGAAAGCCTTTATAAACTTCAACCACTAGTTGAAGCTACCAGAATTGACATAGACAACTAGAACATTCATATTCATGTAATACTTCACCTGTAGCAAACAATGTATACTGACCGAATATGCAGAAGAATAACTTAAAAATATAGTTCTGGTATTACTGAGACAAATGTCACGATTCATTAAATGGAGGGATGAAAAATTGAAAACTATTAATCGCTTCGATAAATTTAGATCATGAGATGAGAAGGCGGGATTTATCAGAATCATTATGTGATATATTTGTCTAATTGACTAACTATTTTCTTGATATATAATGTTTTTTAACAATTATGTGTGATTGAATTGTTTGAGAACGGAAATCATCAAATGTCAATAATTGATCATTTACGTTTGACACATACTTGAAATATTAAAAATTTTCATTTTGAAAATTGAAAAATAGATCAACTTACAATTTAATCAAAGATAATGCATTTTCGAAAAATATTAAAGCCAAATCAAATTCACCAACTAACTGTAACATTAGACCGATATTGGTCTGAAGTAATAACAAAAGATCAACAAGAAAACGGTTTAACTCAATTAACAGTCATTGTGATGAAAATAATCTGTTATGAAGAATTTGAAACTGTCTGATTTTTTGTAAAATAAATGATAGTTTCAAGGTGTAGAGAGATTGCGGTAACCTATCTCTCTAATCTATATTTGCCACACTGACTTTGTTATTTTACCTGATGATTGTTTTCGATTTTAGTTATACCATTCTTGTGAGTTTCAGTTGTTGACATATATATATATATATATATAACTTTTACTCCCTCAAAGTTTTCTCAAGAGTTCTTTACCTCAGTCTCAGTCATCACGTAATGAGTTATAACAAACATAACATAGACAAGAAAATGAAATTATTATTCACTACTCTATAACAATACCTCTAACAAATAACAGTAAATTATCGTTATTATAATACCGTGATAAAAATAAAATCATTGTGAATAACAGTTATGATGAGTATTTTATACAAATAAAAATAAATTAAACCAATAGAACGTACATCTATTTGTGTTATTTCAGGATGACATTCACCATGGCATAAAAGTGCTATATAACGAGCCCGATAAAGTAATTGCAAAGCTGTAGGTATATGTCCACAAGCGAATACATACAGTGAGAAATGTATCTACAAGAAGTAAACCAATAAGAATAAATAAACAGAAATCTGTAAATTACAGCACGCGATATACTTGTTAGGCAATCAATCAGTGAATTATAGACGTTACTTAACCCGTTCAAGTGATTTTAGAACATTTCTGGGAAGGATGAGTTAGTCGGACTGATAAATTTACTCAGTATACCACTGGTCGCAAAATGCAACAAAAGGTCTTGATAAACCGGTCATGAGAAAATATTCATAGGGAAATTAAAGTCATTATCTGTAATCAAAATAAGCAACCAGAATAGTGTAAATTAAAGTTGCTTGGCAGTTGATAGATGCATAACGATGAATGAATAGTATACCAATTTTTTTAAATCGTTGCATCTAATGCAAAGTAATGGAAAATCTGTTATTTCCAAATTTGATTTTAAGAAAACTTCAAAAACATCACATCTATGATCATATCATGATTTAGTGATAAAAGCATTTAGCTTGCAACCACTTGGCTATACTTTGAAACTCTGGTCAAATTACTTTGACCTACCATGATGGCTACTGTTTTCAACCTTCACAAATATATAAATAAACCTATATTCGACAATTGAGAAGCAACAAATTATTGTGGCACACTTCTTGGTACAAAGTGGCGACCGATCAGTATTTATGATAAGCGGACATTAAAGAATTATCAATTTAAAGCAAAAAGAAGAGCTAGGTTAGTTGTGAGATTTAACAAGATTGGATACAGAGTTTCTTCGGAAACACGCTAGCCAATTCCTTACAATTACATATATAGTGAGGTCACAATTTTCAGGAACCTAATCATAGCGGAATTGCACATTTCTGCCAAATTCTTGAAGAGTAAACCAACAGCACCGAATTTTATCTGGTATGATTAGTTATGATGAAAACATAGTCTTGGAGTTTTTATTATTCTTCTGACCAACATCATCAGCACAAACTTCATGCAGAAGTGAAGTACTCGATATTCTCTACGTAGCTCGTTCTGTTATATGTTGATCAGATAGATTGGTTGTCATTGACCTTAAACCTGTCGTTGTCTGCAACTTTATTTTCATTGTATCCCCCTTTAATCTGTTTCTTGATCGTAAGTTTCTGACTGCTTGGTAAATCGGGAAAAGGAATCAAAAAACAAAATATCATTCCTGGATGAACTAACCACTAGAATTGACACACGGAAACTGGAGGCTCAAGTATTTCAGAAGCCAACCCACACATATCTAATTCGCAATTGCAGCAGCAACAACTCACAAAACCAACTGCGTACAAACTTTGTTTAAGAGAGCAAAACCATACTGTAGCATACTTAAAGCACAAAATATGGAGAAAAATATCTGATGACTATCTTCCAAAGGAACGGCTATCCACGCAACTTCATCAAAAAATATCAACTGAAATCATCAACAGAAGCGAAACCTAGTACATGAATCAACGAACGGATCACTCTAGCATACATAAAAGACATCGGAAATCATAACTACTGGAACCATTTGGAACAGGTGTAGCACACAAACCGACAGAATTACTTCAATCAATCTTATGTAAGCCAAAGGGACAAGATGACAAAAGAAGAAAGACTAAATATCGTCAACTTTTAAAAACGATTCTCAACAGTATAAAAAGCTTACATATTCAGTAGCTGTATTAGGGCTGTCAATGCCATGCACACGTTCACTAATCATTGTAGCACGATGTTGAAACAATAATGCAGCTTCATGCTCACCCATAACATAAGATAAACGAGCTAAAAGACGATTACAAGCACCAATATCAGGATGAAGAGGGCCATATACACCATTTAATAGACTTAAAGCTTCGTTAATCAATTCGAAACCTTCTTGAAGATGACCAGCAGAAATTCGAGCTTGACCAGTTGTGAAATAATGATAAGCATCAGTTGCATGAGGATGTAAATGTTTCACAATTGGATAAAGAGATATTATATCTTCAGTATTGAATACCGGTTTCTGATGGTGTTTCACACCATTCGGTAGAGTGAGATTATACTCGCGTAAAAGTAGCTGAATACCAACAGATGTGCAAAATGTTCTAACAAGCTGAATACGTTGAACTTCATAAATTTTACAGAATTCATCAATGTCTAACCTAAACATAGACAGATGGGAACAAACATTGATTACAAAAAATAATGATTGTAAAATGTGTAATCTGTACAAAAGAAAACAAACGTGTTGTCCAATATCTGTGATCACAGATACATGTAGAAAAAATTTGTAAACATATACAAGTGCTAATTATTGAATTACAATTTAATGAAAGAATTGTTTATCAGAAATGTTTATGATTGAAAATTGAATGTCTTCTCTGACTTATCGTGACTGTTTTAAACAAGCAATAAGTATTTTTCTTTAAAATAGGAGAGAAATTCGAACGATACAAGACAGATGTACATAATGAGAGAAATTTCATTAGATAAATTATTTAGTTGATGGATTAACTTGGAGTATTAATGAGGTAAATTTTAAAGAAATGCAAAATGATAAATTTTGTTCAGATGAAAAATGTTTTCATTTTTATCAATACATTTTTAAAATAAACACTCAATCTAGTAAGTGACTGTTATTTGATTAATAAACAATATCTGTTTATTGGTAGACAGTATCTTTTCGGTTGATAAAAAACTAATGTTCATTGAGTGCATTTGATGCGAAATCAAACTTTACGATGCATACCTCATATTGTATAGCTGGAAATCCATGATCAATAATATTACACCGAAATGCCGTAAGGTTTTATGCAACTGTTCACTGTATTCAAAACGATAAACAATTTTTATCGAGAATTACGTATTAACACAGAGAAAAAACCCATTCATTTAACGAGTATCACCAGCACCCTTCAAAAACGTCAAACGACTCATCTTCGTGTTCAAACATATAGTTTCTCTGAGCTCAGAGAACGAAACACCACCACAATCATCAAACTGAGCTACAAATTCTCTCCACAATCTCAAAAATAATACCGGTGATTACGATAGTAAATTGTAGAGGCCCATTTAAGGTATCACAGTGTTAGTATTTACTAAGGTACTAGCTACTATTAAATTAAAAACATATACGAAAACGACAATCCTCATGATCATTAAGGGTAGAGGACTTTCGTACGTGATTAATATTCAGTGAAAGATGTCTTCGAAGCATCGCCCGCGCATTTCGGGACCACCACGTGAGCAGTATCGCGGTTAGAAATACAGTCTCAGGCAAATATGCCAAATTAATTGATATGGTGAGTTTTTATTGACTGAAGTAATTGTAAATGTGTGATATACGCTCAAACGCTGCCTACTTTGACGCGCTATGTGTTCTGTTGTGATATGTTAGAAAGTTTGGGGACAAAAGAAACGTGACACATCAGAAGTCCATGAAAACAATGACTATTCGAGTGAGTTATGTAGGTAAGTGTAGACTAACTAGTTGGGTTATTCATGATGATCGTAACCAGAGATCAGAGCCGACAGCTGACATGGCTCACAATAATCGTTTGCAACGATCAGAGTGCATCCACTTTTGTTTTTCCTTAAGTAGTACAGTATCTTGAACGAAAATTTACTTCACGAATCCATGAGACTGAATGAAAACTGTAATCATTCCCTGCAAGCGAAAGAGACTAACTTACGCAGTTATCTGATAATGATAGTATTCTTTAGCTTCTTTAATTATTTCAGACCACATACTGGAATGTGTTTCATTAAGCCATGCCATTTCCTCTGTTAATTAAAAGAGACAAAACAATAATAATCAAACAAGTTGTTAAAAACATCATGTTAGAAAAATTCTTTTTATTCTATACAACGTATACATAGAATAAAGGATAATTAATAACTTGATAATATCTTACACATAAGTAATATGCTAAGAATAAACTTCAATAACTACATAAACAGAAGTTGCTGATATTCACTCGGATAAAACACAAGATGCAAAACGAATCATAGATTTCATTTAGCTGGTTTATACATAAACGTAAAACTACAGAGTTAAGGAGAGAACCCGTTATCGAAATCCCCGAAAACCATTACACTACATGGAGTGATGCAAATGTTTTAGTGCGTCTACACACAATCCCATTGATTAGATTACAGAGTTCATACAGTTTGTAAGACTACATATAGTATACAGAAGTAGCAATATCGAAGTACGTACACATATAAGATACATACTTATAAGTAAATGTTTGCTCATCAATATTGAATTCTGTTATGTGACTGTTGTAATACTAATTGTTTATAACCTGAGACAATGATCAAATATTGTACGTTGCACAAATTTAATGCAAAACAATACAAACGAACCTGGTGATTCACGAAGATTTTTAGATTTTTTCTTATTCTTTTTATTACGATTCAATTTGAGGACTTGCTGCCATTGAAGAAAATAGAACAAAAAATATATCTTGTTAATGATTAGTTTCGAAGACATACATCATGACAGAGTGTAGCATAGCTTTATATAAACAACAATAGTTACTATTAAATGTATATCTTTATTCAAAATCATTCATTTAAGAACCAAAATTTTTGTTTGATATTCACACTTAAACATTTTAAGTAAATAGTTTGTAGTTGTTAGTTAATGAAAATCCGTAAAATATAACAAATTCATACTATATTCTACTTCAACTGTTGTTTTCGCCCAGTTCAAAAAGATGGCATAGCTGACAATGAATACAATACTCTTTAATGCATTTCCTCTACAGAACAGGTTTACACGTAATTATGAAGACACAGTTAACTGAGTACATGTACGCAGGCAATTAATTATATGTTGATTCAAATACGCAAATATACTCACCTCATCAATTCCCAGTAAGGGTGTAAGATTAGGACAAGCTGTTAAAAAACAGTTTAGAAAATGAGCAACACCAACTGAAAGGAGCATAGGATCAACATCTTGAAGATATGTTTTAAATAAGTGTTTTGCTGATCGTAACAAAACTTCACAAATAGCCATTTTCTAGATAAAAACAAGAAAACAAGTATGAATAAAACAGTTTATGTAACCTGATGAAGAACACTAGATGGAGAAAATTTTAATTTATCACCAGAATAACATGAATAAGTAAACAAAATTGAAGATCTTGATAGTCAGAGGAAAAAAAGCTACCCTAGGAAATTAAAATTATTTTGTAAAATGATGATAGAAACTCTCATTGCGATCTAATCTGGCTAAGAAAATTACATCTGGATCAGAAATTTCAAAAAACATGTTTAAAGTAGTGAGTTTACAAGCAAACTTTACTACTACTACAACAACAACTATTACTGAAGATTTTACACTATTTTGACAGGAACTAAAGCAAACACATTTATAACAAAAATGTACAGAAAACTATAATAATACCTTTCTTAGTATAGTGAATTGCTTTGTAAATTCCATAAACTAGATCCATGTGAAAACTTTAAGTTATCAGATATATTATGATATGTAAATTTGTCTGTATAGATATTATCGACAATTAAAGGACAGATATTATGTAAAATACAATGTAAATATTAAGTGGTAATTGATTAAGCCTATTCAAAATTTTCATCCGAGCAAAAATTCTGGTTTGCAAAAGAATGATTGATATTTAAGAAACCGTGGTAGTGTTTCGTTCTCGGAGCTGGATGTTTTGGTTATGAAGCTTTCATTGTTCTTCTGAACAATATCATCAGCGCAAACTTCAGACAGAAGTGAAGTATTCGAATGTCTCCATGTTTGATCTGTAGCTTGTTCTGCTAACCTCGATCTTAGGTGATATAGGGTCAAGAAACAGATCAAAAGGGGGATACAATCAAAACAAAGGTGCAAACAATGACAGGTTTAAGGTCAACGGCAACCAATCAAGATCGAGGTTAGCAGAACGAGCTACAGGTCAAACGTGGAGAAATACCAATAATTCACTTCCATATGAAGTTTGTGCTAATGATGTTGTTCAGACGAACAATGAAAGCTCCACAACCAAAACATCCAGCTCAGAAAACGATACTCCATCACAATCATCCACCTGAGCTACAAATTTTCTCCACCATTTAAGAAACCGACATGAACGACTTGTGCAAGTGAGCAGTGTGAAACGGATAGGTATAGAAATTTGAATCATGCGATTAAGAAAAGAAATTGAACTCAAAGCATGATAATACGATGATCCTTTTTTATACACTGATGTGCAAGATATGGATGGGTGCATATGGAATGCACACACAGAAATGAAAAACTCACTTTCAAGTAGCCTAATGACTGATGAGCACTGACTGATTCGATTATACGATTCAAATAACGTACATTGATACCACTGTGGAAAAAAAGTGACAACGATTATTATTATTATCGGAGTAAATAAAGAGAATAGTGGGTTTAAGTATTTTGGGAACTTTTTAAAATGAATATCATACAGTATAAAATATAAGCAATTAAGACATCTTCTGGGTATGCAATAAGGCAGCAAATATCATACAAGTTGTAGCCAAGATCGATCATTTGAATAGCACGTTAATCAAAATATATTTTTATCTGAAAAAGTGATGTCATTTACTTCAACATTTGTGAATGCTAACGTGCATTAGTTAGGTCAATTATACTGAAAAATTAAGTCATTAAAATGTTCTTTGATCGATTACAATGAATGCTGCGCATGTATGTTGTGATATTTTGGAAACAAAATCAGGTTATCAAAGGTTACATTAAAAGGTTCAGTTGGAACTAGCGAAAATAATACGATGATGAAACTATACTGTAGAATGATAGACATGAACTCATTAGATAGTTAACATCTTGTTATGTAGATAGTGTAGTGAACTATGCAACCACCAAAGTTGTGGGTAGAATATGGTGAATCAAATAAACGATAATTTTGATAAATTTTCTTTTTTTCATTGTACTATTAAAGTCTACTGTAGCAGTTAACTGTTTTAATCATCACTATCAAGACACCAACACAAGTAACATGTTTTCTATTTCACTTTAACGAAGGGATTTGAATGAAACTCCACTTGAGCTACTAATTTTCTCCACTCTCTATAGGACATATTTTTTTGATTACGTCATTTTTGACAAAGATTTCAGACACTAATACTAGTGACGAATCATAACCAAAACTGTTTCTTCACCGTGAAGGTTGTTGTTTTACTTGATGCCCACTAATATCACGCGATAAAACGACAAAAATTAGAATATAGATTGTATGGTTTTGTACCTGAGCTAACTTATGATACACCAACTAACATTAGAAGCCATGAGCCAGTGCTAAGTTCTAACTGGACTTCGACTCAGTAGCTTCTCTCTGTCTTGCTCATTGAGTCGATAACACAGTCGTCAATCTCCACTATACGAACAATATAATGTAAGCATAAGTTGTTTAAATACAGATAACCTCGACCGCATCACACCTGTAACTCAGTCAGTTACAACGTAGAACTTCGTACGTAAGTACATCAGTTCAGGTTGCCATACCACATTAGCACACAGACGCATATGTCAAATCAATCCCATAGTGATAAAGATAGTAGAGGTATCAATGGTAATGAAGAAGACTAGGGTTCGAAGATATTATTCAAGAAGTATAGTTCAGTGAGATAAGTTTAGAAAGTCAAATATAGAGGTGTTGAAGAATCCAGAAGATTAGGATTTGAAGAACACAAATAATGGATGCACATGCGCCATTGCGAACGATTTTCAGCCATGTCGTTCAAGGTCTCTAACCATCGGCGACTTCCGTCTCGCGGACCCCAACCAGGTTGTCTACATCTACCAACATGACTCAGTCCACTTCTTAGTGACTTCATGGATTTCTGCCATGCTTTGGTTTGACCGCCCCTAACTTTCTTCCAACCTACTCCTACACTACAAAACATAGCTTGTCGAGGCAGTCGGTGGTTGGCCATTCGTAACACATGTCCCAACTACCTCAATTGATGAAGTTTCAATACTTCATCAATTGATCATCCATCCTTACCTAGTACTCGCTTCCTAATGGTAGCATTGCTTACTCGGGTTTCCCACGATACACGAGCGATGTTCCGAAGACATCTCTAATCGAATACTGGTAACCTATGAATGTCTTCTACTCTTAACGGCCATGTTTCGCAGCCATAAAGTAGGACAGAGTGAACTGTTGTGCAGTACACTCGTCCTCTGGTTAGCGAACGGATATCTCCCCTACTCCAGAAATGACGTAAGTTGGCAAAAGCCAATCGAGCTTTCTGTATCCGTGATGAGATTTTGTTAGTCACCAGGCCCACACCTATAAGTTGGAAATAACAACTATACACAGTCAATCCCAAAACTGATTGTGAGTAGGAAAGACTGAATAATAAAACTACCAACAAACCAAAAATAAGAAATCATAAAAATAGCAGTTAATGAGTTAAACGGAAGCAGTTACAATTACTTTATTCTTTGTTGTATACAGCAACAACAACAATAACCTTTTTTAGTTTGAGATCAAAATATGAAATATTTTATGTAAACAAATTGTAGTCAGTATGCAGATTCCTTTTAATAAAAAATAAACGATCAAACAGTAATATTATTTAACTTACCGTTGATGCATCAACTCAATCAGAGCTCTACCATCTTGGGGAGTGATACACAAGCTTAACGCATCTCTGACAAATGCTGGGATCTGTTTCAAAACCAGAAATTCACAAGCACTGCACACTAGTTCTTGGTCGGTTGTTAACGATTGTTCCTACAATGAAGAGTAAATATTACCAAAAAACTTATGAGGGCTGTGTAATAACCAACGAGAATTCACGTCTAGCCATAGTCCACGCCTAAAAGTCACACTTGACAAACAAAGGAAACTCTTATTAAGCATGAAGTTCATTCGAAACAAGACAGGAAACATTTAAGATGATTATTTTAGTTCCTGTAGCAAATTTTCGGAACATTAATAGTAAAAATTAGTATAAGGAATAGCGTACAAGTTCATACGCAAATTAGTAAACCTCAAATAATTCGTGATGATAAATGATATTGTTTAGCTACACAACTGTTCGTTAAAACTTTAACTGTCCAAATCATTTATGCCTTCGATCACTCATTAATGGCAAACACACATTTTTGTTTACAAATAACTTAAAGCTTAATATATTAGTAAATAATATACATGCTTCAACATAATTGATACACACAGGAAATATTACTAGTGTAAAAGAAAGCCAACCTCTGAATCACAAAATTTGACAAATTTCTGATAAATGTCAGGATTGAATGCAAGCTCAAAACGGTCGGTACTCAGAGAGCCGACAGCTGCAGCTGCTTTGCGGATCGCTTCTTGAATTACGTCACCTGGATGAAAAAAGTTTAAATATTGAGGAAAAATTAAGATAGATTCGGTTTGAATTACGTGTTTACGAGTTAAAACAAAGCACCAATACTATAAATCAATGAGTAACAACTACATCCATTTCTTTACGAACGTAGGAAAGCAGGACCGATAAAAAATTATCCAAATTACAGTAAACATTTTACGTTCAATGCACTTTTTGCCTATGGATCTTAATCGGAACACTTTCGGTCTGGTTGACTTCTAAACAAACAAAAATTTGAAAAATAGGTTTCAGACTATATCGATGGAATCATTAGTGTCGCGATAAACCTAATCGATTACTCATTTATCAAAGTAGCAGCTATGGATAGTTTAAGTAGATTTTCATTTTCTTTTAATGGTAGCATTTCATTGAACCATTGAGAACTGGTGTTACTATCCGCGTGCCTCAATCGATATAAATACACAATAATTCATACCTATTGACTAAAATTTGTGTTCTAACTACTACACATTATTGCAATTGAAGTTAACTTTGTCTAGAAAGTAATAATCATTGAAATCGAGGATAAACTGACACTTAAATTTTGTGTTAGAGTCCGTCAGTTACAACGTAGAACTTCGTACGTACGTACATTAGTTCAAGTTGCCATACCACATTAGCACAGACACGCAGGTGTCATTTAAATTCCCATAGTAGTAGAGGTAGTAGAAGTATTAGCAGTAATCAAAAAGATTAATGATCGACTATATCATTCTGTTTGTAATCGAATACTAATAACCTACGGATGTCTTTTACTCTTGACGGCCATGTTTCGCAGCCATAAAGTAGGACAGAGCGAACTACTGTGCAGCAGACTCGTCCTTTAGTCAGCAAACGGATATCTCGCCTGCGCCGTAGGTGACGCAACTTGGCAAAAGCAAATCTTGAAGCAACATTTTACATTTCGGGGGGTGAAACCGCATTCCGAACATACTTGGATTGTTACTTAAGGTGGTCAGAAGACTTCATTTTGTCAGAATCTTCCCCAAGTAGAACTTTGTCATCGACATACTCTCAGTCAACAAGCGTGTCTCTTGGTAGAAGGTCCACCGCTGAAAAGTCAGACGGTGTTATGCCTGGAAGCAAATCTATGACAAAGTTAAACTAGAATGGAACAAGTGAACAGCGCTAACACACACCACCTGAAGTAATGCATTCTGATGATAATTCGCCATAGGCTCTCACCCGACCAGTGGTTTCGAGTACAGAGCTTGTATACGGTTAATGTACTTCTTTGGCACACCTTTTGGTGACAGATACTGCCGCAGAACCTCACGATCCACAGAGTCGAATGCCGCTATTGTAGGACGCCTAAATGTGTGTCTGTGTCCTAGGACCTGTCGTAATGTGAATATGTGGTCTATGCCAGGTCTGGAACCAGCCTGGTTTCCTCGGATCTGCTTTCATGTGGAGGGTTTTTAAGTGAACACAGCTGAAGGCTCAGAGAATTGGAGAAACATTTACTCTACAACGACTCACCTGTTATCATGCTATGATAATCATGAAAGCAACAAACTTTGTAACCTCCCTTTATTATTTTAAAAGTAATCCTGCAATTTCACTTAAATAAATACACATTTATCCTTCCACAATAAGAAAATTCTTATTAAAGACAAAAAAATAATGGAAATCACTAAAGGTCAAATTACTTTTCTGCATGTCTTGATCATCTTCGAGTAATTTTTTCATCAGACTTAAATCATCTGATTGATTCTTGCATGGAGACTTTATCGTCCCAATCCCTGAGTTTAAAGCATTACCAGAGTGTCCAGTTACATCATGATGATCTATTTGATGTTTTGTTGTAACTAGACTATCCTTGGGAGACAATGGATCAATAGTAGTGTTTGGACAGTTATCCTGTCCATTTTGCAAACTAACAGCATTCTATGGTACAAACAATAAAATACAATTTATGTAAGATGAGTAGTAAGTAAGCAAAAGTTAGTGAGAATGACTGAACAAAATGAAAATAACAAAATTTATGAACCTAATGAATCTAACTCTAGCTTAACATTGCCTATCAGCTGCGAAAGGCCTGAAGTTATGTACAAACTAATACGATCAGAAAAGAAGGGTTTGAAATAATTTAAGTCATAAAAAAATTGATATGAGTGTTTGAAAAAAGATGAGAAGTCATGAGAAGAAAAAAAGTCGAAATAAAAGAATGACTAAGCATTGCAGTAAAGATTGAGGAAACTAATACAATAAGAAATTACGGTAATAATTACTACATAACCCGCCGTCAGTCATATACAACGTAGAACTTCGTACGTAGGTATATCAGTTCAAGTTGCCGTACCACGTAGCGCAGAGATGTAGTTGTCGATTCAAATCCCACAGTAGTAGTAGTAATCAGAAAAATCACGGTCCGAAGATATTATTCAAGAAGCATAATCCATTGGAACGAGAAAGATGAAGGTCATAAGGAGTCTAGAATAACCCGCCAACACAATTAGGATAAAAATTGTTGATCCTGAATATTATAAACACTAATTTGTCAACAACAAAAAAGTTTCCATCCGTCTTCCATTTAACAGGGATAACAATTCATGATCAGTAAGCAGAAGAATTATTAAGGAATCGGAAAGAAACTTCTTTGAAACAAGTGATTTCAGTAGCACTCATGAACCTTATCACTACTGGGAAAGAAAACAATTAATTTAAGATAAATCTAACAACATTCCACAAATAATGTTTGTCTTGTTTTATTTAATACTAACGAAAAAGTCAAATATTTGAAAATACTTTAGATAATCCCAGTGAACCGTAAACTAGTCAGTATTCGAATCAGCTGGAAGAGACAAATAAGCTTTTAAAAAGGAGACTTTCGTTTATCTTTTTTTCTTCATAGAGGTATATAGAAATATAATCATATGTAAAATTTAGCACCGAACTCTGATAACAAGATGGTTTGAAGATATTGTATATGGTTGATGAATTCAGTGATGAGTACTTCTTGTTTGTTGAATTCCGCGGTGATGATGAAAATGGTCGAGTAGTGAATATTGTAGGACGTGACTTAAATGTCAATCAAAGCAGAATAATAAGTATGACAAAAAACTTTAAAAATGTAGACACCTCTAACCTGATCATCATCTCCAACGTTTATGGAAGATTTAACCTTCTGGATCTCCAGAGCAGCCAGACGTAGAAACATTTCATAACGATAGCTATGTAGAGTGAGAAATCGAAAACAAATAATAGGGATATGGTATTTAAAACTAATTCTGTGACAAAACGGAAATGGTCAATTTCTAATGTTGGGCATATGAACCTACATATTCAAAGCAATATAAGAGAGTAAAAGTATGAAAATTAATTGAGTAGTAAATTAATGACTACAACTAGACTGACATTGACTAGGCATATCAGTAGGCTATCAGTAATAAGGTTAAACGGTAAGGAGACTATTAAATTATACACCTTAACTAAGAATTTATGAATCTAAATTGAGCAAATCTATAACAATAGAAAACCGAATGTACACTTACAAAAAAGTGTAAACAGTAATTGAAATAAGTAATATGAATGAACAATGTTGTTTTTCACTAGGTTTTGTAAGCTACTACATGTTTACCTCGTGTTTTGTTCGAATTTTCATATGAATTTTTTATAATTGGAACAATATGAGCATTTTTAAGGTGATTTGCTGGTAGGACTTTAATGTCTGAGTTTTACGAGATACAGAAAACTGCGAGTTGGAAATTTAATCCAGCTAACTAGGAAATGGAGCATGAAAGATAGACACAGTATAAGTAGCTTGATTCAGCGATCAAGTCGTTTTGAAACAAGCGATTCCAGTATTAATTAACTTCATTGGTAAGATGTAAGGAAAAATATCAATATCCGATTCTCAATTAAGAGATGGAAAACATTATAGAGAGTACTTACTACACGACAGTAAAGCGATATTTACAAGCCAATCACTTTAATGTCACATTTTATCACAAGTAATGATTTTAAAATGGAATGATATGTGAATATGTATTAGAAATAAATCAATCGACATAGTCTTACTCGAAAAATGCTTCAATCAATTCTTGTCTTAAAGTCGCCAACATATGTCGATGTTGATAAGGATAACCTAGCTTCACTAATTCAGGAGACAGTTGAGGTCGTATATCACTACCGTTATCTAAATAGTTTAGATCTGGTGGGAAAGTACGTAATAAATCCAGAATATAAGTTCGATTATCATTTCCAACAATCCCTTTACAATCCACAGATGAATATAACTGTATTGTATCACCTGATTGGTTGACCACTCTGCAAATTTAATTCATGAATTAGAAAAAAACAACTAATTTAAATACATTTAACAAGTCACACAATCATACCAGTATTATTATGTTATATCTGTTATCAATACTACTTTGAACAGATAAAACTGAACCATAGAGGACTATAATTAAGTGAACGTCATTGCAAGGTTATGTAAACTAGACAGAATAATGTATGGAAGAGCTTCATATCTTAACATAAATGCTGAAATATGCACTGCATAGCTCTTTCATGGTGTAAAGATGATTTAAAGTAATATTGTCAGTCAGTCAGTCAGTTGCAACGTAGAACTTCGTACGTAAGTACATCAGTTCATGTCGCCATACCACATCAGCACAGAGATATAATTGTCAATTCAAATCCAATAGTAGAAGAGGTAGTAAAGGTATTAGAAGTAATCGTAGACGTTAGAATTAGAAGATATTATTCACGAAGTGTGATTCAATGAGATAAGTTTAGAAAGTAAAAGCTAGAGGTGTTGAAAGTAATATTGTATTGTAGGTTCATTTAAATAGGTGGTTATTAAAGATTCTTATGGAACTGAAATTGTTTTCAACATGGATTGATATTTAACGTCTTGTGTTTAAACTCGTGTTAAGTTGTGAATACACAACCTGATTCCAAAACAGCCGATATTCTTACGTAAACTATCTGATTATGGAGTTGCGAGGTAGTTTACATACACTTTGTGTAAAACCACTGTCAAAATGCTAGAAAATGAGACAAATGAAGAAATAAAACACGTTTGTTGAAGTAATGCTAATCCCTACCCCAAATGGATATTGGTAGAACACAAATCTGTATACTAAAGTAGATTACATGAGTGACTGTGATGTATCTTGTAATTTGAGTCAGTAGAATCGACGCTAACATACTCAAGGTCTGAAGGCGAAGTCGTACTGCTGACTGTAGAGGCGTGTGACAGCAATAAGGTGTTTCCCTCGAAAAACCAGCATCTGCAGCGATGCTGCCTTCTCAAAAGGAAGGAAGGGTTAGAAAAGGTCGAACCTATAAGTGTCACACCTCCCCTAACTCACGGATTTCCGTCTCCTTGGGTAAGGGTGTCCACTAAGGGCTTTTAAGAGCGGAGCTAATACTCAAATAACCTTTCATAAAAAGGCTGTGCGTGACCCGCCTCAAGCAGTTGTCCCTTGGGCTCTGCGGTCACGCTCCCAGGTCTCTAAGACCCACATTAATCTATCTTGCTTTCCAGGTCCCTCAAGAAATACGCTCCCACGGTGGGGGCAGCCGCGAGGTGACAACCGTCCTCATCCCCGTAACAGCGCACAAGACCAAATTGGTCATAATCAAATCCTTCCAACACCTCCTAACATTTCCCTTATCTTCACGACTAACTCTTCTCACAATCCTTTATCACCCCGCACCTCTGCTGCAAACGATTCGAGTTCCCGAAATGTTATTCCTGGTTTCCTGAAACCCCGTTCTAGACTACATGTTGGAGCATTTAATGTACGGTGTCAAATAGGGCAACACGCTTCATTAGCTAGGTCTTTAGAATCTCACGCCATCGATGTATGCTGCGTCTCGGAAAGGCACATACAGGATCCGAGTGGCGTCATTCACTTGATCTCACCATTTCAAGATAAAGAAGCAACTCGATTTACTCCTCGTGTATCTGGAAGTCCTGATGCTGCTTCCCGGGGTCTCGTTGGTGTAGGTATAGCATTGAGTCGTAGGGTAGAACTAGCCCTCCTTGACTGGATCCTTGTAGATAGTCGCTTGTGCGCCGTCCGACTAAACGGGACAGTAAGGATTCGGAAGGATAGGGACACTCGCCGTTGCCTCTTCGTCGTATCTGCAGTTTAGACGATGTGAAAGATGAGTTTTACAGAAAGCTTTCGGATCTCCTCCAAAAAGTTAGGCACTCTGATATAGTTATAATGGTTGGTGACTTTAATGCTCAAGTAGGTATACTCAGTGAAAAGGAAAGACACATAGGTGGATGTTATGGTCTCGCGGCTCAAAGAACAGACAATGGCGACCGTCTGTTGCAACTGTGCTCAGAAAACCGCCTATTCCTAGCAAACACTAACTTTAGGCATAAGGAAAAACATCTTTTGACCTGGCGACCCCTAAGGTCGTCTCAACTTTGGACTCAACTAGATCACATTGACATCAGCCACCGATGGAGGGGTTCGATAGAGGACTGTCGCTCGTTGTGGGGCACATGTTTACATTCAGATCATGCCCTAGTGCGAGCGCGTATTTGTTTGAGGCTTACTGGGAGTAGGAAAGACACCGCAAGGAAACCTCTTGGGGTCTTACTTAGTGATAATGAGGCTAAGAAAATATTCCAGGAACAACTAGAAAGAGAGTTAGGCAACCATGTAAGCGATTCCCATCCACAAGCAGGTTCGAATGATATCAAAAAGGTTGTGGAAACAGCAGTGATATCTGCTAGTAAGGTTAACCATAAGGCTAGGATGAAGTCGCGGATCTCAGTAGCATCCGCCGAACTAATAGAGGCTCGAAAACTCATCCCACCTGACCCCCGAAGTCGTCTCAACGTTGGACACAACTGGATCATATCGCCATCAGCCACCGATGGAGGGATTCGATAAACGATTGTCGCTCGTTCTGGGGCACATGTTTGGATTCAGATCATGCCCTAGTGCGAGCACGTATTTGTTTGAGGCTTGCTGGACGTAGGAAAGACACCGTAAGGAAGCCTCTTAGGGCTTTACTTGATGATAATCAAGCTAAGAAAATATTTCAGGAGGAACTAGAAAAACAGTTGGGCGATCATGCAAGTGATTCCCATCCGGAGTCAGGTTGGAATGATATAAAGAATGCTGTGGAAACAGCAATGGTATCTGCTAGCAAGGTAAACCACAAGGCTAGGATGAAGCAGTGGATTTCAGTCGCATCCACCGAACTGATGGATGCACGAAAACTCATCCCACCTGGCTCTGAACATGATGAAGAGCAAAGTCAGCTTAGGCGCAGGCTGGTGAAAAGCCTACGCAACGACCGTGAACAGTGGTGGGTCGCGAAAGCGAGAGCGATAGAAAAGTCAGCGGTAACAGGCATCAGTAGACAACTTTTCCGCCTTATAAAGAAAACTGGTATTAGAAATCCATCTGTTAGAGAAACTATCGCAGAAAAGGATAGTTTTATTATTCATTCTCAATACAGGAGATTGGATCGATGGGCAGAACACTTTAGGGATCATTTCAACTGGCCTTCAGCAACACTTCGTTTACCCACGATCTCCAGTCATCCTGGATGGCTAATCGACTTAAGTTCTCCTAGTCTTTATGAAGTTGAATAGATTGACTCCTGAGATTTTTAAGGATGGTGGTCCAGTTTTAGCAGCCAGGTTGACTGAAATGTTAGGTAGAATCTGGGAACTAGACAGTATCCCATCGGACTGGTCTCAATCACTGATTGTCCCAACTTACAAGAAAGGACAAAAGTCTTCTTGTGACAATCACAGGGGAATAAGTCTAACTAATATAGTTTCTAGATTGTTAGCTTCGATTATACTTAGATGCCCAAATATAGCTCGTGAAGAGTAGACCAGGCTGGTTTTCGATCTGGACGTGGCTGTATAGACGACATTTTCACTCTACGATAGGTCCTGGAACACAGACACACATTTAGGCGTCCGACAATAGTTGTGTTCCTGGACCTTAAGGCGGCATTTAACTCAGTGGATCGTGAGGTTCTGTGGCAGTGTCTGTCAGTGAAATGTGTACCAAAAAAGTACATTAAACTTATGCAAGCTCTGTACTCGAACACCACTGGTTGGGTGAGCTTATGGCGAACTGTCATCGGAATTCTTTAATTCAAATGGTATCCGTCAGGGCTGTCCACTCTCTTCATTCGTGTTTAACTTTGTCGTAGACATGCATTTAAAGTAAACATTATCTTCGTCAGATTTTTCAGGGGTGGACCTTCTACCATGAGGATCGCTTATTGATCTAGAATATGTCGATGACATACTTCTATTTGGTGAAGACGCTGACAGAATGCAGAGTCTTCTGACCACCCTAAGTAACGATGCAAGCATGTTCGGAATGCGGCTTCCCCCTAGAAATGCAAAATGTTGCTTCGAGATTGGGTTGCATCATCACCTGAACTAGTGATAAGGAGTGAAGTAGTTGAGTGTGCAGACCGCTTCACTTATTTCGGGAGTTTCATCAGTGCTGATAACTTGGTGTGAGACGAAATCTCAGCTCGGATACAGAAGACTCGATTGGCTTTTGCCAAACTGCGTCACTTATGGCGTAGAAGAGATACCTGTTTGATAACCAAAGGTCGAGTGTATCGTCGGACACCCGAGTAAGCAATACTACCATTAGGAAGCAAGTACTAGGTAAAGATGGCTGATCAATAGATGAAGTGGTGAAACTTCATCAGTTGAGGTAGTTGGGATATGTGTTGCGTATGCTTAACCACCGACTGCCTCGTCGAGCTATGTTTTGTGGTGTAGGAATAGGTTGGAAGAAAGCTAGCGGCAGTGAAACCAAAACATGACAGAAATCCATAAAGTCACTAAGAAGTGGACTGAGTCATGTTGGTAGATGTAGACTACCTGGTTGGAGTCCGTGAGACGAAAGTCGCCGATGGTTAGAGACCTTGAACGACATGGCTTAAAATCGTTTGCAATGGCGCAAGTGCATCCACTCTTTGTGTTCTCTCAAATCCTAACCTTCGGAGTTCCTCATCAACTTTATCTTTTTCATTTTTAAGTGTATTTGACTAGATTCTACTTCTTCAATAATATTTTCGAACCCTAATCTCTTCGATCACTGCTAATACTTTTACTACGTCTACTACAATGGGATTTGAATTGAAAATTGCATCTCTGTGGTCGCTTAGCATCGTGGAGTGATTGAAATTAACGCCATTAGGTTCTGATCCAGGAGTCTAGAGGGTAAGCATTCACGCGTGGATCCAAAGGTCCTGGGTTCGATTCTTGCTTGCAAGGCCGTGTATACGCACTATTCAGTGGTCCCATACAATCAAGAAATGACCGTTCAGTGATTCCAGGTTTTCAATGGTTTTCTAATACTGATCGATTCGTGAATTGATGAAGCTCAACAATTTCCACAACCTTTTTATTTGTGAAGCTGACTGTTAAACGTGATGATCCCGGGTTCTACTCCCAGCGTAGTCATGGATGTGTAGTGCCTCCACATATATTCCAGTTCGCTTACATTTAATTTGCTTAAGCCCTTTCGATTAATTTTTTTAACCAAGCCATTTCTACAGCAACAACTCATATGTACCATTGGTATTTTTTATTATCTGCTTTGTATGAGCTTGTACGACTGAGCATTGTTTACGCCTACGCGCTTACTCATCCTTTTCACTTTAATGTTAATCTCTTAATTTCCCCATGAACTCACATGATTTGTATCGCTTGCTTTTGACCTTGTCAATCATTGATCGCTTTTATTCATGTCTGTACATGCCTATTTCGCTTGTCATATGTTTGTCTTATTTTTATCTGACTATATATTCTTAGTCATGTTCTATCTCTTTGAGTTGGCTCTTTGCCTTCTCCAACGCGCTCCGCCTATCCATTCGCTCCCTTCGTTTTATTCACTGCTTCTCCGCTTCACTTTGTGATGTGTCCCGAATAAACGTACTCATCAATACGAGTTCATCTTCTGATTTATAAACCGAGTTTAAGAACACGCAGTTATCGGCACACTACAGATGCTTAGTGCTGGGGAGTCTCAAACCAGGATCAGAAAATAATGAAGTTTCTATGTTTCAGTCGTTTTTTCGACTGTGAACTTGCTTTCAGGGAAACTGATACACATAACATTTCGACAGTAACCCCTAAATGATAAAATCCGAAAAGGGGAGTACAACATAGGCTTGATAATTTGAGAAAGCTAACTTAAATAGAACATCTATATACACATAACAAAAAAATATGACCTTGGGAACACAGAAGTGGTAAAAACCAACCAGAAAAGAGCAAACGTAATAGGAAAATATGAATTAGGGGAAATGTTATCGGTAAATAGAAAATTGCCATTTATCAACAAAACTAGGTGACTGTTGTTAAAAGACCTAGGAATGTGTCATGAATCAAAATCCACAGATATACACATTCTTTAACTTACAAGTAGTCTTAGATTGTAGTGTTCTTCAAAACTTTAGATTCTATTTAATTCGCGTTCTAAATGTCTATTGCCGCAGTGTTAACACAGTTGCTTTTTGATACTCTAGTTTTTTATACTAACCGGTCGGAGATCAATGGCAAACTAACTATTCAATTTTATCAATGTACGGCAAACAGACGTCCTTTTTATGATATTGAACTGTACAGTTATATGAAAAAGCGTAACACTTACTTGTGTGGTTTGATTTTCAATTGTTTAGCCGTTTTAGATAATAATTCTTCATAACGCTTATCGGTCAGCACTGTCTTGCCAAAATCAATTGAGCCATAAACAACTAACTGTTCTTGCTCTTTCTCCAAAATACCTGTAGAAAGAAAAAAATTACGTACAAAAACACTGACTGAATATCAATTAACTTTCGCATACGATATGATACGTGAGAGAGAGAACAGTGTTAAATAAGTGTTAGTTATAATACATGGTTACCCGGAACTTAGATACCAAGTACTGCTTGATTGTACTTCCGTGTCTGTGAGGACTCTGAAAATGAGCCTATCAAACACTCACAAACAATTAATTTGTAAGCTTGTGGGAAATATTTTTTAGTTATAACTTCTGGATTGTAAGGGTATTTTTTGGAGCCTATTAAGTAAGAGCTGAAGCCCATTTTTCCATTCTAACAATTGATAATTATACAGAACACTACTAGTCTCACCTGGTATAATTGTCTGAGCAGTAACACGGAAACCGCGGTAATCTATAATAGCTGTCCCAAGAGTATACAGCCCAGATTGATCTAGCATTGAATATGCGCGCACTCCACATAAATCGCTAGACTAGAGAAAGTAATAAAGAAAAATAAAATTAAAAGGACCTGAATATACGCTTGGAGAAAATAAAAAGATATGATTAATCAGTGAGACAAGAACTCTCAATAGCCAGCTTTATGACAAATTTGGCTGCAACCAACTACTTAATTGTGTAACTAAGTTACATTTTTTGCACCAACAGCCGTAGTGCTCGGGGTTCAAGCAACGTTTCATGCGATAAACTTCCAGAATATAGGTCAGTGAATGTTTAAATTCCTGTTGGTTGGTGCACAAACCAGATAAACGACCAACAGGTTCAGAAAGCACCAAGTTAAAACCGTACTCTCCACGAATAATATTAATTTTACAGCCTCGGTTAACTCTAGACTGGACCAAAGTGCTGTTATGTCAGTCAGTCAGCTTCAACATAGAACTTGGTACATACGTAGGTCAATTCAAGTTACCATACCACAAAAACACGCAGAGATGGAATCTTCAATCCAAATCCCATAGTAATAAAGGTAAGAGCAACATTAACACAAAGTGTTGTGTTGTCATGCTCAAGATTTATTTGACAATACGTTGCCATATCATTCAGTTCTGGATTTCGATCAAGTAGGAGCAGATATCAGCAAACTTCGTAGGTCAGTTATAATCGGAATAAGTTGAAATTACCAAGATAAAGGAGAAAGGAATTGAGATAAAAATGGTAGGTATCACAGTAAGATCTAACAATGAGAAAATAGTCAGAGAAGCAGATGAGGAAGAACAGTTAGAGTTGGCCGCTGGAGAAAAATCTATTTATTGCATAGTTCAATCAAACTGCAAAGCAGACGAGCATGAAACTACTTTATTGTAAAGTGCTTGTGGATGAATATCTTACTTTTGTATAATCATATGGATTCATAAGATGAGGGGTGAAGTCAAATTTAATTTTTATAAAGTTGAATACACCACATTTAATGTAAAATGAATACTTTTCAAGAGAATCAAAAATCAAAAAGAACTAACCGTGGCAGCATATGCAGCATATTCACCACCGAAATGTTTGTAATGATCTTTGACATCGAATCCGAGTGAGAAAAACATATTGTTCCAGATAAACATTTGCTGTTTACGCGTTTCTCCCGGGTTAATAGCCATAATATCTCCGTTTACCACGCTAACAGCAGCACGAGTTGCTGCAGCGACAAAATCACTGTTTGACTTGAAGATAGCACGGTCTCTAAGTAATCGTTCTGTAAGACGTGACTGTGGAAGTTCACGAGTAACTTGTAGCTCCTCGTTCCAATCCCTAGTCTGCCCGGGCAAATTTTCTTCGCAAGCCATACGTGAGGAAAACGCTATTAACCCAATAAATTTCGAAACATACATAAAAATATTCATAAATATAATCTAGGATATAATGATAGTCAAAAAATAAAAGTCCTTAAGTAAAATTGAAGTCTGTTTACTGCTGAATATGTAAGTAGGTTAAATATAGACTCCTATGACGTTAAATTATTCAGTCAGTCAGTTGCGACGTAGAACTTTGTATATACGTACATAAGTTCAAAATGTCATACCACACTAACACAGAGATACAACTGTCAGTTCACTTCCCATAGTAGAAGTATGAGCGGTAATGGAGAAGATTAGGGATCGAAGAAATTATTCAAGAAGTGCAATTCTGTGAAATAAATTTAGAAAGAGAAAGATAAAGGTGAAGAATTCAGAAGATTAGAATTTCAGAGAACACAAAGAGTGGATGCACATGCGCCACTGGTTTGGGTTCCCCTCGTTTTATTGATAATATTATCAGTCAATCTCATGTAGTCATTTATCTTGGGGTTTAGTTGTAGCGAGATTATTGTTACAAATAAATATAGCGTCGAGATAGCAACATAGTTCACTGACTGTTGGGAAATTACAATACAGAATCTTTTGCAATAGTTTATTGTGATAGATGAACTAAAAAATTGCTGGGTGAAAACATGACCTGGTTAACATGTGTATTGCTGACAACTTATTATCAGCACACCTGCTTAACTCTTTGCTGGGAGGAATTGATAACGAAACGCAATTCTGAAAAAAGAAACCTAGACAAATTTGTTAGAACATACCTTCTTCCTTTCTTACAGAATCTGGAGAATGTTCGATTAGAGGTGCTAACCAGGAGTGGACTTGGTACGGAGTCGGGACACGTTCGAACGGGTGTTTAGAAGCTCGAGTTTTTAAAAGGGACTCAAAATTGCGCTTGAAGCCTGGGCTAAGTTGACGCAGCAGATCGATCAGAGAATGTGCTACATAGGCATGTTGTATTGGGTGGGGATTAAACTGATCATCAGTGGACCTAGGATGGAAAAAGATCCAATTACATTTTATATAAATTATGACTGAGTAAAGTGTCTGTACGATTGACTTTATGTGTTCTCGATGTGATTCAGGAGGTTTAAGTTCGGGGATAGATCCAACAAGAAGCATTTGGATTTAGTAATAAATTTGGTGAAACCCGTAAAAAACTAATTGAATACTATCATACGTTCTGATTACAGAAGTAGAAATATATCTTGTACTCGTGTTTTAAGTATAGATATAATCTTATTTTAGAACATTATACACCTAATTAGACCAAAACTGCCTATATTTTTCTGAAATGGCAATACATTAAAATAACAAACTGCACTTTCTAATCATAACAGGCATAAGAAATAAGGACACAGGTTTCAGCATATATATGGATTAATCAGTGTTTCTGCATTTTGACATCAGGATACGAAGTCAAAAAAAGATCGGTGGTCTTTTCTCAACAATATTTAAGAACCCGTTCTAATCAGCACATCTGTGCGAAAGATCTTGTACGGAAAGGTAATAAATTTGATTTGATTTTAATTAATTTAACTATTTCTGGACAACCATTACAAAGGACTTATCAAGCAGATACATCACGAACTGTTCTTCAATTCAGCTTTGTCATAACAGTTTGTTAAAAGATAGTTAGACAGCTCAATACCAAAAACAAATTAGTGAATGGATCAAGAGAGGACAAGACTACTCAGAGTATTCACACAATATAAAAACTGTACAAAAACTAAAATGATATTTCGGCTTACATATTTACATAAAATCCTCTGGGACAAGCAGTTATATGGTATTTTTTGTCCTCTAGCGTGTGGAAGAACAAATAAATCAAGTCACCCAATAGTCGTCTTGCAGGTGGTGGTGGGTTCCAGTTACTGTAATTCAGTTGGCGAACGCATTTAACTGGCTTTCCATCACGTTCCAAAGGATGTAAAGGCAATAATGGGAGGCTAGAGTTTGTACCATAACCGGGCATAACATATTCAGGTGGTATGAAGTCTGTCCGCATATCCAACCGAGTAGGGAAATGTTTCCGCTCTTGAGTGAAGTAGATAAGTAAACGAGTTAATCTCAAAACTGCTACAATAGTTTCATCTGTAGTTTAAAATCATTCGAATTTCAAAACATCTATCTACATATTTCACATCTACATCGCCCACACTGCTAAGGTGGCATGGTGACCTTTTAAAAGATACAATAACTGTAATGCGAATAATGTGAAGGTAAGACTGACAGTAACTGACCATACAAGTTGGCATTAATTGTGAATTATATTATAAAACCAAATATAGCTCTAATACTAGAAACCAATTTTCTTGACTAGGCAATTTCGAATCTGTATGTGTTAGGGATATCATTAACCCAAGACATTGGTAAAGCTTAACATAAGTTACGTGTCACAGAAAACTTTACTTCTGCCAGAGCTTGAAATGCCTGATGCAGTTTGCTCATTATTTGGCAAGTCAGAAATATGAAAATGGGTTTTCGATATTGAGATGGTGCGAAAAATTTGTAGCTCAGGTGGATGATTGTGATGGAGCTTTGTTCTCTGAGCTGGGCGTTTTGGTTGCGGAGCTTTCATCAGCACAAAATTCAAGTACCTGAAAGCTCCGCAACCAAAACACCCAGCTCAGAGAACAAAGCTCTATCACAGTTGCTTAGATTTTATGAGCACTTGGTTGATCGCTTTGACTTCCCAGTACGAACAGTTAGCAAAAGGCAGATGAGAAGCAGTATGTAAGCTACACACAAGGCAAGCACCAGATGAGAAATATATCGGTCAACTGCATAAGAAACTGATGCCAGTTTCACACTTAAAGTGGTTATGATTGTGATTCAGTGACTTATAAGTCGACTTTAAGAACCAATGAATCATTATGAGAAAGTAACCTACTGTTTCTACCACCCAGTGAACTTCAATCGACAAAGGTTAAGTGTTATTGTAGTGAACCAAAATGGAATAGAAGCATACTTTACCTAGTTCTCCTGCCACTGAATTGACGAACGAAAGGGACATCTGTTCTCTACCTGTGTAAGCATCGTAAGGTTCAATTGAATGAAGGAGATCGTGGATGTGTCGGATATGATTTTTGGCTTCCCGAACACTGTAGCGCTCTAAAACAAAAGTCCTGAAAAAATATTCTTGGACTACCTTCCACAACCTTTAGTTCGACGCCATCAGCTAAGCCATCAACTGATTTTAAGTCAGCAAACATATCAAGTGTCTGACCATTGAGAACCAATGAAAAGCAGGTACAACTGCAGGTTTCTTCTCGATCCATTAACACACGATGTATTTCCTGTACAAGCTCAAAGGAGCTCACCTTGATAATGATGAAATCTTATTAGTATTTATTACTTGTAGTTCGAAAGGGTCTGAATGGGTTGGAATTATTTTAACCGTGTAGGCAGTCTCTTCTTGAACATCATCTGGTTTACTCACAGCATCTGCTTTCGACAAGTCTCCGATGGCAACTACATTCACTTTATTGTCGCTTTTGCCATTTAACTCAGCATCAACCATTTTATGAGGATTCCAAGGGTGTAGGGCAATGTAACTTTGACCCTACCACGCAGGTGTAACGTTCGCAACGGAAAACTCAGCTCCCTGATCGACGTTCAACATCGACTTCAGTGTACTAAAATGAGGATAGTCAACCATCCTCTCTCTACATAGGACCATGAACCTTTATCATCTCTTTTGCTAACCTTCTGTGTAACATAAATAGGGGGTGTTTAACAAATGGGCAATTCAATTGTGTCCTAAGAGATATCTCTGTGAACATCTATGTTTCATTCCTCACCGAAGAATTTGTAACAGATTACGTAGAACTGTTAAACATTGGCTGGGAATCTCTGATAAAATCTAAACTAACATAGTTAAAGTATCCGTGTATAGTGAACAATCTGCTGATCCCTCTCAAGGTCAAGAATAACAGCCAGCATACACCGATCATTTGCACTCTTTAAACAGACATATTTTCCCTGCACTTCTGTTAACTCTTGTTTGATTTTGCTTTTTAATAATACTTATTCCATCCATTCTCATGGTTATATCGACAGAATGACCCGGATTAGGCATTAATCGTGGACAAGACTTGGATGTGAGCTAAGTGACCACATTATAGCCGTTCAAGTCAAATAAAGCCCTATTCATTGACGTAGATCATCCACGTTGATGATATGAAAAATAAATTATTCGAAAAAGTGACAAAACTTTCCTTATTTCTGAAGCATATTTCAGAAGTAAATATAAGCTCATCGCACACTATTCGTGTCGGATTTATTGTCCTCGGTTTATACATACATATTGGTGGCCTGCTGAAATATAAGGGCAGTCCATTTCCTAAAATCGCATTATCCCAACAAATCGGCTATATTTTTTGATAATGAAACTTATTCAGGCGCGTAACTAATAATTTTAAGAGGTAGCGCTGAACAAGGAATGAAAAAGTACAATCTGAGACATCTCAATGACTGGTGATATTTTGAGGAAAGAATGGACGTTAATAAGATGTCTATTCCTGAACTGCTTACTTCGAACTATAAGGAAAACTTGTACAAATATTCCGTGCTGAGTATTGCACTTTCTACTACATATATAAAATTTTGGATAAAGACATTGTACTTCGATTAGACACTTGTCATACGTCACATAATGTCAGATTCACAACAGAGCTGAAGCCAGGTGTAAGCGGAATTCGTCACCTGTAAACGTAGACACTATTACGAGTACGAAATCCGGACACTAAGAATGTGATCTCAATAACCCTCAGCTTTGGATTGTTCAAGTGGAACAAAACCTTACTAGGTACAAATTAAGCTAGGAAGGGTTTTACATGACGATTTGTTTTTTTGTTTATCCCTCTTCTAGTTGCCGGAGGCCTGCGATTTAGTTTTAAGTCTCTTCAGTTGTTGCCATACATTATATTAATACATAGATTAACTGACAGTTGGTTTTCGCCAGGCAGTAAAATTATCAAAGGGCTTTTCCAAGATGCGATAATGGGTGACGATTCTCACACCACTTCTTACTTGGTGAGAACACCGTGTGCGAAAACGTCCTAAAGCATTAAAGTCCATCACTGTCTGAAAAAGACCCGAATACACAAATTTCTCACTTAACACCAATTTTACAGGGTGAAATTGAGAAAGGTCTGTCGATAGGACCACTTGTGAAACTCCATACGTAAGAAGGATCCATATGAAACCCAGGCATACCAGAATTTGTTATTAAAAGTTTTACAAAAGCTGTCGCTCTAATGCAAATAGATCGTAGAAACCTAAGCAGGTCATCACAGCGGCAGAGGTTCGGGCCACAGAGCCGGTCAAGATCGTTCGTGTAATCGCAACAATCCTTTTGGTACTGAAAAACGTTCGGCACTAAATAAACCAGGAACAGTCAACCATATGTTTGGCCTCAACAGGCTCTCAAGATATTAAAAAATGAATAACTTCATTAGTTGTGACAACTGAGGAGGGATGCTTAAATCTCCCTGGTTTGATGTTAGGGACAGACTCTCAAGTTGAAAGGTTTTGGTGGACTCATATGGTGCATACTGTGCCATTACCCAAACGGAAAACTTCCTCCACGATGATTTAAGCTACTAACAATGACAAAATCTTGACAGATGGGGATGCGAGGCCTAACATACAATTACCCGAAAACACCCACAAAGTACTGCAATATACTCGCCGAATTCTATAGCCATGCCAAATCAAACCCTTAACTTTTTTGAAGTTGAAAAATAACCGTGCGTACATCACTTCAAGTTAGCATACCACATTGTCAACTCGAATCCCATAGTGGTAAATATGGTAGAAGTATTAGCGGTAATGGAAAGGTTGGGAATCAAAGATGTCATTCAGGAATTACAATCCAGTAAATAAGTTCAAAAATGGAATAAATGGTCATAAGGAATTCAAAAGATTAGTATTCGAGAGAAGACAAGGAATGGATGTATTTACACCATTGCAGACGATTTTAACCCATTTCATTCAAATTTTCTAGCTATTGGTTACTATCTCTCGGACCCTAACCAGGTAACCTAGACCTAATAATATGGCTCTGTGTAGTTGCCAGTGGCTTTAAGTATTTGTTTCATATTTTGGTTTGGTCGCCTCTAGCTTACTTTCAGCTTGACTTTACATCGGACATCGGTTGTTGAGGTAGTCGGTGGTTGGGCATACGTAACACGTCTTAATCACCTCAAATGATGCACATTCACCACATCATTAATCGATTTGTCAACCTTCCCTAGCACCTCTTCCCTAACCTCTTCAGAGCTTCCTCATCTGGAGCCCTTCTTAATTACTGCCTGTCCGAATTCTGGATAAACAAGGAGGATTAGGCATGGGATTAGCGGCCCTATCTAAGTGGCCAAAAGTAGTACTTACAGGCAGTCCAAGGAGTAACTTTACTTGAAGGGCAGTGAGAAAGATATTTAGTCAAGAATGGATACTCAATGGAACTCATTTCACAAAAAGAAAATTACGAGCTGGCCTAATGATATTAAACGCTGTCATCTGTTTACAGACCCACAATATCCTTAGTGTAATGGTTTCGAGGAAATTTCGTTCGAACTTTAAAGAGAGCTTTCGCATCAGTAAAACTAACTAATTCAGGACTAGGAAAATACATTGATCATTTCTTACTTCAATATCGTCAGTCAGTCAGTCAGTCATTAGCAACGTAGGATTTCGTACGTTTGTACATAAGTTCAGGTTGTCATACCACATTAGCACAGAGACGCATATGTCATATCCAATCCCATAGTGATAAAGATAGTAGAGGTATTAATGGTAATGAAGAAGACTAGGGTTCGAAGATATTATTCAAGAAGTATAATTCAGTGAGATAAGGTTTAAAAGACAAAGGAAGAGGTGCTGACGAATCCAGAAGTATTTAAGAGAACACAAAGAGCGGATGCACTTGCGCCATTGTAAACGATTTTGAGCCATGTCATTCAAGGTCTCTAACCATCGATTATTATCATCTCGCGGACCCCAACCAGGTAGTCGACAATTACCGACATGGCTAAGTCCACTCGGTAATTGTCCAGAGAAATCTAGCATAATTCAAACTCGAATTTACAGTTTTACTGTGGAAATTATATATTATCCACAAGGATTATAATTCACAGAATGGGTAATAGAATGGTAACGATTCTTGATATAAATGACCATTCGAATCACAGCTGATGCATAAACCAGCCGAAGCTTAATGAAGTAGAAGATTCTGATCTTAATAGTGACCATTTTGTAACTAATCTTAATTCCGTAGACAATTCGGAGCGTCAGATAGATAGTTTTAACTTCAATTGTAATGATTTTCTTGTTATCAATAACTTTTTAAATAATTCTAAATTTCAGATGGATAGGAATGAAAATCGGATTATTGAAAAATCAGGACGGTTTAGCAGAATCGCAAAAAAGCTAAGACTTCATTATAAAAATCTGGATCGACATCCAACGTGTAGCAGGTGTACTGAATAGTAGTCACGTTTATTGTACAATTAAATGTTTTATATTGTGCTTAAATCTGATGTAGTAATACAATACAAATTCATGCAGCGTGCTTCAAATCCCAGTTTTTCATTGAGGTTCTAAATATAATGAGATTGTTAGTATTTCTTTAGATTATTTCAAATCTACGCCATTGTACGGGGGAAAGGTAAAGAATATAGTCGTGTCGTTTCTTGGAGAATATTATATTTTACACTTTCCAAGCAGAATGTCTGGTTCGCTACTGCTCTCAGTCTCCAATAGTCTATTAGCATTTGTAGTTATAAGACGAATAAGTTGTACCCAACACTACATACTGAGAGCTCCTTTCAAACGGACAAATTTGTTATCAACTGGCAGTCCACTTATTAATTGCTAATATTTGCTTTGGATTGTACCAATAAAATATAATCTGATCATTTTGAACAAACATGAACCTCACGTTTTAAATATTGCATGTATTTATTAATATGCATCGGAGTTATAAACATCTGAATATAGTTGATCTTAGCCGTCGTGGATATGATCTTAGAAATAGTAGTATTAATTACTATTATTCTGGTGACAAGTTGAAGGACGATAACCATGTTTCATCATTTCTAGGAGTTTTATAGCTCTTACATTTAAATATTCATGATAATTTGCCTTAAAAAAATAGTAAGGTCATTTAATAATATCTTTCGTCTATCATAACCGGACAACAGTGGTTTACTAGTCTTTTTTGATGGTCTCCAAGGTAAATAAAGTAGATGATGGTTGTTAGATACATTACACTCAATCCGCATACAGAGATAAGACTACTTATGACTTCGAAACTAGCTATCTATAATAGATGCTTTCCGTTGCGGCTTGAAACGTTATTTTGTCTGGATGGTGACGGAGCTCATTTAGATAGTTGGTGCTTAATCAATCTGACAATGTCAACATTAATGTCCAATGTTCACAAAGCTTTTCTCGGTGAATTATTTGCCTTTACAACTACAGCTGTTAAATGAATAGAATGGTGTACATTACCTTAACTTTAATGTATTCGTCTTTATTTTATTTACTAAGAACTATTTTCAAAGTTTATCGACATAATGCATTCCCATCATCATATATTATTGCATTTTGA